GAGCGAAGCGACAGGTCGTGTCCGATTAGCTTACCATGATAATATGACATGTCCATTAACTCTCCTTTTAGCGTGTAATTCATTTACACCCTTCTTGTGTATTATACTTTGCGCTCTACAAAAAGCAGGCAGAGATTGATCGTCCGTCCGGCAGACGCGTCCCCCCTAATTCGCTTTATTAGTTAAACCCCCCATCTGCATCTCATTGTGTATGTACATCTGGACGCAGAAAGTGATTCGATTGTTATTCAGGGAATCGACAAACTTTAACCCCATCACAGCCATATCGACGTGCCGGAGAGGAGGTACGGAAACTAGAATTGAGTTGTCGCGACAAAAGAAGCGGTTAACGACGGGCCAGGATGATAATGACGGATTTGCCTAGGCTCACGCTGTCTCGCCCGCCGGGTTCAGGACAAATGAAGCTTGTCTGGAAGGGGTTGGAGCTGCCAGTCATTGTGACGACTTAATAGCTGACTAATGAAATGTACTTAGCCAAAAACTCGACTTGCTGGGGGGGGGGGGTTGGGGGTTGAGGCATCCCCCTTTTACATTAATTAAATTCTGCTTGTGGTTCGGCAGCAGACATGTGTTTACAATTTAATATTCCTGATAATTTATTCGTTCTCTACCAACTCTGTATTCTTTAGAAAGTGTTTGATCGACTTTATTCCAGTGTCAGCTCTTTTTCTGTGTGGCCTTTTGATGTGATATTCATCCTCATATGGATGCAGTATTCCCTTTCTCTCAATCCTAAAGTAAGTGTGAACTTTATACCTTTCTAGATATTATAAAAGAATACCTGGTGATCCTTTTGAAGGTACTTCTTAAGGAACGTACCATTTATGGGGGGACAGCTGTCTCTTGGTTGTGATCCTTCAATGAAGGTATATCTTCAGGAACATACCAGTTATGAGGTGACAACTATCTCCTAGGTGTGATCCTTCCATGAAGGTACATCTTCAGGAACATACCAGTTATGGGGGGACAGCTGTCTCTTGGTTGTGATCCTTCCATGAAGGTACTTCTTCAGGAACATACCAGTTATGGGGTGTCAACTATCTCCTAGGTGTGATTCTTCCATGAAGGTCCTTGTTTCAGAGCCTACTGGTATAGGGTGACAACTGTCTCCTAGGTGTGATCCTTCCATGAAGGTACTTCTTCAGGAAGATACCAGTTATGGGGTGACAACTATCTCCTAAGTGTGATCCTTCCATGAAGGTCCATGTTTCAGAATCTACTGGTATAGGGTGACAACTGTCTCCTAGGTGTGATCCTTCCATGAAGATCCCTGTCTGTTATGGGGTGACGATTAGGTCCTGGTTGTGCCTTTCCATGAAGGTTCGTGTTTCAGAACCTATCTGTTATGGGGGGACAGCTGTCTCCTGGTTGTGATCCTTCCATGAAGGTGCTTCTTCAGGAATGTACCAGTTATGGGGTGACAACTATCTCCTAGGTGTGATCTTTCCATGAAGGTCCATGTTTCAGAATCTACTGGTATAGGGTGACAACAGTGTCCTAGGTGTGATCCTTCCATCAAGATCCCTGTCTGTTATGGGGTGACAATTATGTCCTGGTTGTGCCTTTCCATGAAGGTTCGTGTTTCAGAACCTATCTGTTATGGGGGGACAGCTGTCTCCTGGTTGTGATCCTTCCACGAAGGTCCGTGTTTCAGAACTAACTGTTATAGGGTGACAACTGAAGATCCCTGCCAGTGGTTCGTTATGGGGTTATGGGGGGTTATGGGGTGACAACTATCTCATGGTAGTTTCCTTCCATGAAAGTCCTTGTTCAGGAACCTATTGTTTCCACAGTATGATCCTTCCATGAATATTGTTGTTCAGGAACCTATTATGGGTGACAATTGTTTCCACAGTATGATCCTTCCATGAATATTGTTGCTCAGGAACATATCAGTTATGGGGGGGTGACAACTGTCTCCTAGTTGTGATCCTTCCATGAATGTCCTTATTCAGGATCTTATTGTTATAGGTGACAACTGTCTCCTGTTGTGTCCTTCCACGAATGTTGTTGTTCAGGAACCTTTCTGTTATGGGTAATAACTATCTCCTGGTTGTGATCCTTCCATGATACTCTTTGTTTAGGAACCTTTCTGTTATGGGGTGGCAACTGTCTCCTAGTTGTGATCCTTCCATGAAGAACCTTTATGTTATAGGCTGTTATAGGCTGACAACTACAGTTGTGACCAAAATTATTCAACCCCCAATGCTGTAAAGGGGGTACCTTTTAGGGACTATAGTGTACATTTGGAATTGTATTCAGAATCAAATCCTACAAGGACGTTGTAACTACCCAAATGCAACTAAAATGACATCAATTGTTTATGTAATACAGTAGTAAATGGTTCTTATGTGGTTTCTTCATTCCAACCCCTTAAAGACTAACCACTCTGAAGAACAGAGGTTCATACAGGTGCTTTCCATCAGTATTGAAAACACCTGTGGATGTCACCGAGCAGCAATCAAGCATAATAAGCACCAATTAGGCAGCTTTTAAAATGACAATCAGCTCCTTCTAGACATTTACTGGTGTGGTTACAAACATGGTGAAGGCAAGAGAATGGTCCAGAAGACAAGAGAAAGGTGATTTCTCTTCACAGGAAGGGCAATGGCTATAAGAACCTTGCAAAGAATGTTAAACATACCAAGAGAACACCTTAGGAAGCATCATTCGCAAATTCAAGGCAAAGGGTCCACTGTTGAAGGACGCTACCCTGGTGTGGCAGGAAAGAAGATGCTGACTTCGACTGCTGTGCGCTTCCTGAAGCGTAGAGTGGAGAGAAGTCCCCGTGTTGTCTGAGGAACAAAAAGATTTGTTATGTGGGTACAGAAGTTTCAGCCCAGACAATAAGACGCACACTGCGTAATGAAGGCCTCCGTGCCAGAACTCCCAGGCGTACCCCCTTGCTGTCTCCAAAGAATAAGAAGAGTCGACCTGCAGTATGCCAAAAGCCATGTGGACAAACCACAAAAGTTGTGGGATAGTGTTCTGTGGACTGATGATGAAACAAAATTAGAACTGTTTTCCCCATGGATCAACGCTATGTTTGGAGGAGGAAGAACAAGGCCTATGATGAAAAGAACACCTTGCCTACTGTGAAGCATGGTGGAGGGTCAATCATGCTTTGGGGCTGTTTTTGCTTCTGCATGGTACAGGGAAGCTTCAGCGTGTGCAAGGTACCATGAATTCTCTTCAGTACCAGGAGATATTGGATGGAAACGTGATGCAGTCCGTCACACACCTGAGGTTGGGAGACGTTGGACCTTTCAACAGGACAACTGATCCCAAGCATACCTCCAAGTCCACTAGAGCATGGTTGCAGAGGAATCCTGGAACATTTTGGAGTGGCCATCGCAGTCACCAGGACTTAAATCCGATTGAGAACCTCTTATGGGACTTAAAGAAAGCTCTGGAAGTTGCAGTGCGCAAGCCTAAGAATGTGACTGAACTGGAGGCCTTTGCCTCATGAAGAATGGGCGAAGATTGTGTCACTTGTGTCAAGCATGCTTCACGTTTAAAAGCTGTTATAAGTACTAAGTACTAAGATTTGAATGTCACTTGGGGGTTGAAAATAAAACTAGTTCTGATAATGCTGTGAGCACAGAAAAGACATTTGTGGTTATTTCATTATAACTGTTATGTTATATTTGTCTGACCTACAAGTGCCTCTTTAATGTAAATGTAAGCAAGATGACTGAATGATCAAAAAGCAATGTCAAACTGGCCAAAACACTCACTCAAATTTCAGTGGGGGTTGAATAATTTTGGTCACAACTGTATATCCTGATTGTGTCCTTCAACGAAGGTCCTTTGTCAGAAACCTACTGCTTTGGGTGACAACTGTCTCCTGTTATGATCCTTCCATGAATGTTGTTGTTCAGGAACATATCTGTTATGGAGTGACAACTGTCTCCTAGGTGTAATCTTTCCATGAAGGTCCTTGTTCAGGAACATATCAGTTATGGGGTGACAACTATCTCCTGGTAGTTTCCGTCTATGAAAGTCCTTGTTCAGAAACCTATTGCTATGGGTGACAACTGTTTCCATCATACGATCTTTTCACAAATATTTTTGTTCAGGAACCTATCTGTTATAGGGTTACAACTGCCTCCTAGTTGTGATCCTTCCATGAATTCAGGATGTTATTGTTATAGGTGACAACTGTCTCCTGTTGTGTCCTTCCATGAAGGTCTTTGTTCAGAAACCTTTCCATTATGGGTGGCAACTGCCTCCTGGTTATGATCCTTGTATGAATGCTGTTGTTCAGGAACCTGTCTGTTCTGGGGTGAGAACTGTCTCCTGGTTATGATCCTTCCAAGAAAGGTCTTTGTTCAGAAACGTTTCTGTTATGGGTGACAACTCTCTTGTTGTTTTGATACTTCCATGAATGTCCTTATTCTGGAACCTATTGTTACAGGGTGACAACTACCTCCTGGTTGTGATTCTTCCATGACGCTTCCTGTTCAAGAACCTATCTGTTATAGGGTGACAACTATCTCCTGGTTGTGTCCTTCAACAAAGGTTTTTTTGTCAGGAACCTACTGCTTTGGGTGACAACTGTCTCCTGTTATGATCCTTCCATGAATGTTGGTGTTCAGGAACATATCTGTTATGGGGTAACAACTGTCTCCTAGGTGTGATCTTTCATGAAGGTCTTTGCTCAGAAACATATCAGTTATGGGGTGACAAACTATCTCTTGGTTGCGTCCTTCCATGAAGGTCCTTGTTCAGTAACTTCTTGTCATAGGGTGACAACTATCTCCTAGTTGTGATCTTTCCATGAAGATCCCTGTTCAAGAACCTGTTAATGGCGTGACAACTGTCTCCTGGTTATTAGTCTTTCATGAAGTTGCTTGTTAAGGAACCTACTGTACGAAAAGATGAAAAGATTTCCCTCGTACACAAAGATATACGTTTTGACAAGCCGATTAATTTGCTGTATGTAGACTAAGATGGCCATCCTCTTGCTTCTATTTCAGGGCCTGACCATCAAACCGCTTGTCAAGTGGCTGAAAGTGAAGAGAAGAGACCACCACAAGCCGACGTTAAATGAGGAATTACATGAGCATGTAAGCCTTTCAGATCTTGGCCCCCTCCCAGCAGCTGTTGTACTTCCATCCTTGGTAAATCATCCATGCCATCTAATTAGGTGTCCTCTTCAGACCACAAAGATCTGCTCATGTTTTCTGTGGTTTGGAGGAAAGAAATGTCATGGATGGGGTGTGTAGCAGGGAGACGGGAGAGTCATCACATCGGCATGGAGGGAAGTCAAATGTTGTGGCAGAGGGCATTTATAAAGAGTGAATTCATAATTGAAATCATAAATTGAATAATTGAAATCAAATCATATATTTGAGCAGCACCCCGAGGAGACAGCAGAGTCAGAGCCAGTTTCAGCAGATTCTACGTGTGAGATCTTCATTAAAGCATATTGATTGATTTTTTAAAATATTGGGTAGATTGGTGAGGGGTTAGGATCCTAGCTAAGTTTTCATCCCCGGCCATCTAGGATGATTCACCCTTTCTGTTTGTTCTGATAACCAGTGTCACTGAGACAGAAAGTGAGCAGAAAATCTAACTGTCTCCTAGTTGTAATCCTTCCATGAAGATCCCATCTGGGGTGACAACTATCTTCTGGTTGTGTCTTTCCATGAAGGTACTTCTTCAGGAATGTATCAGTTATGGGGTGACAACTATCTCCTAGGTGTGATCCTTCAGTGAAGGTTTGTGTTTCAAAATCTATCTATTATGGGGGGGACAGCTGTCTCCTGGTTGTGATCCTTCCATGAAGATCCCGTCTGTTATGGGGTGACAACTATCTTCTGGTTGTGTCTTTCCATGAAGGTACTTCTTCAGGAACGTATCAGTAATGAGGTGACAACAATCTCCTAGGTGTGATCCTTCCATGAAGGTTCGTGTTTCAGAACCTACTGCTGTAGGGTGACAACTGTCTCCTAGTTGTGATCCTTCCATGAAGGTCTGTGTTTCAGACCCTACTGGTATAGGGTTAAAACTCTCTCCTAGTTGTGAGCCTTCCATGAAGATTCCCCTCTGTTATGGGGTGACAACTATCTTCTGGTTGTGTCTTACCATGAAGGTACGTCTTCAGGAACATATCAGTTATGGGGTGAGAACTATCTCCTAGGTATGATCCTTCCATGAAGGTTTGTGTTTCAGAACCTACTGGTATAGGGTGACAACTGTCTCCTGGTTGTGATCCTTCCATGAAGATCCCCGTCTGTTATGGGGTGACAACTATCTTCTGGTTGTGTCTTTCCATCTTCAGGAATGTATCAGTTATGGGGTGACAACTATCTCCTAGGTGTGACCCTTCCATGAAGGTTCGTGTTTCAGAACCTACTGGTATAGGTTGACAACTGTCTCCTAGGTGTGACCCTTCCATGAAGATCCCATCTGTTATGGGGTGACAACTATCTTCTGGTTGTGTCTTTCCATGAAGGTACTTCTTCAGGAACATATTAGTTATGAGGTGACAACATCTCCTAGGTGTGATCCTTCCATGAAGGTTCATGTTTCAGAACCTATCTGTTATGGGGGGGCATCTGTCTCCTGGTTGTGATCCTTCCATGAAGTTCTGTGTTTCAGAACCTACTGGTATAGGGTGACAACTGGCTCCTAGGTGTGATCTTTCCATGAAGGTACTTCTTCAGGAACGTATCAGTTATGGGGTGACAACTGTCTCCTAGGTGTGATCCTTCCATGAAGATCCCTGTCTATTATGGGGTGACAACTATCTTCTGATTGTGTCTTTCCATGAAGGTACGTCTTCAGGAACATATCAGTTATGGGGTGACAACTATCTCCTAGGTGTGATCCTTCCATTGAAGGTCCATGTTTCAGAACCTATCTGTTATGGGGAGACAGCTGTCTCCTAGTTGTGATCCTTCCATGAGGATCCCTCTCTTATGGTGTGACAACTATCTCCTAGGTGTGATACTGCCATGAAGGTCCATGTTTCAGAACCTATCTGATATGGAGGAACAGCTGTCTCCTGTTCTGATAACTAGTGTCACTGAGACAGAGTGAGCAGAAAATCCAACAATTTACAGTTGTCATCAGAACAAGATGTGAAGAGAAAAATCTTCCAATGGGTCCCGCCTGTTCCAATGACATCCCACTAGAATTGGATTTCCTCTCACTTCCTCTTGCGCGTCTGCAGAACAGGAAGTGAAGGAAAATCACCCCAACAGAATGAAAAAAAAAACCCCGTCAGAGGTTCTAAAAATTTTCTATAAAAATTTAGTCCAAAACTAAAAAGAAAACTTCTGCTTATAGGTCAGTGTTAGTAACGAAGCAGCCCGTGTGTACAACATAAAACCTCTTCAAACAGCCTGGTCCTATTGTTGAGGCTTTTTTCAAAATGCGGATTAGACACAGGCTTTTTGTTTCCTTAGGAATCGAAATTCGGGTGAAAGTTTCGTTATTCGGACATTAGGGTGTATCTGAATTTCTGAATCACGATAGAAATGAATTTTAACCAACCCGAAAAAAATTATAATGAAATGAAGTATTTGAAATCAAATTTGAAAATGAATTTGAATTCGAAAATGAATAGAATGCAATGCAAATGCAATAACTACAGTAAGGGGTAACTGAAATAAGATGATTCCTACTTAGGCTGCTTAATAGAATAGAGAAGAATATAAAGAATACAGTATAATACAAAAGATTACAACAGAATAAAACATAATAGAATAAAATTGAATGGAATAGAATAGTAAAGAATAGGATAAAATAGAATATAGTAGAATAGAACAGAATGGGATAGAATAAAGCAGAACAGAGTAGAATAGAAAATAAAAGAATAGAATAGAAAATAAAAACTAGATAGAATAAAACCTTATATAATAGAATAGAAAATAAGAGAACAGATCAACTGTGGGTGTAGAATTATAACTTTTTTTTTTAATAGTTGAACTGGATGGACTTTTGTCTTTTTTTCAGCCAGACTAACTATGTAACTATATAACTCTGTAAACGAATTGAAAATAAAAGAATAGAAGAGAATACAAAAGAATGGAATATAACAAACAAGAATAGAAATGAAAGGAATAGAATAAAAAATGAAAGAATAGAATAGAAAAAAATATTAGAATAGAACATAATAGAATAGAATTGAGGAGAATAGAATAAAACAGAAAATAATCGAAACTAAAATAAAAGAATAGAAAATAATAGAATATAACAGAAAAGAATATAAATTAAAGGAATAGAATAGAATATAAAAAAAAAAAGAATAGAAAAAAATAATAGAATAGAGCATAATAGAATAGAATTGAGGAGAATAGAATAAAACAGAAAATAAAAGAAAAGAAGAGAATACAAAAGAATAGAATATAACAGAAAAGAATAGAATAGAATAAAAGATAGAATAGAGTAAAACAAAACAGAATAGAATAGAATAAAACGAGCATAGCGGTCTTCTGAAATGGATTTTTCTGTCTCTTCGAGGCTTTCGATCACATCCTGGCAGCGGTGGAGGACATCGTTGGCCATCATGGATATCACCATTGGAGGGATAAGTGAGTACATCCAGATCGATAAAACGATCGTCGGTCACATGTGAATATTGCAGATCCTCATTCTTCCTCTTATCCTATAGGTGGGAACAGTTTGATAAGAAATATCTAAGCCAATGGCTGATGAGGAAATCGGCGTATCGGATCAAAGACGAAATCTGGGAGGTTTGCTACAAACTCAACATCCGCGATGCTTTAAGTCTGGCAGATCAGGTATTGGCCTCACCGCCGCCATCTATGGTCAATATTGGCCTCACCACCGCCATCTATGGTCAATATTGGCCTCACCGCCGCCATCTATGGTCAGTATTGGCCTCACCGCCGCCATCTATGGTCATATTGGCCTCACCGCCGCCATCTATGGTCAATATTGGCCTCACCGCCGTCATCTATGGTCAATATTGGCCTCACCGCCGCCATCTATGGTCAATATTGGCCTCACCACCGCCATCTATGGTCAATATTGGCCTCACCACCTCATCTATGGTCAGTATTGGCCTCACCACCGCCATCTATGGTCAGTATTGGCCTCACCACCGCCATCTATGGTCAGTATTGGCCTCACCACCTCATCTATGGTCAGTATTGGCCTCACCACCGCCATCTATGGTCAGTATTGGCCTCACCACCTCATCTATGGTCAGTATTGGCCTCACCACCGCCATCTATGATCAGCGTTGTGGGTTGTGGATGGACTGGATCGGTTCGATGGTTGTGGGTGGTCTGGATCGGTCGATAGTTGTGGTTGGATTGGATTGGTCGATGGTTGTGTGGGTGGTCTGGATCGGTCGATGGTTGTGGTTGGACTGGATCGGTCGATAGTTGTGGTGTGGACTGGATCGGTCGATGGTTGTGGGTGGACTGGATCGGTCGATGGTTGTGGGTGGACTGGATCGGTCGATAGTTGTTGTTGGACTGGATCGGTCGATGGTTGTGGGTGGACTGGATAGGTCGATGGTTGTGGGTGGACTGGATCGGTCGATGGTTGTGGGTGGTCTGGATCGGTCGATGGTTGTGGGGTGGACTGGATCGGTCGATGGTTGTGGGTGGACTGGATCGGTCGATGGTTGTGGATGGACTGGATCGGTCGATGGTTGTGGGTGGACTGGATAGGTCGATGGTTGTGGGTGGACTGGATCGGTCGATGGTTGTGGGTGGTCTGGATCGGTCGATGGTTGTGGGTGGACTGGATCGGTCGATGGTTGTGGGTGGGATCGGTCGATGGTTGTGGATGGACTGGATCGGTCGATAGTTGTGGTTGGACTGGATCGGTCTATGGTTGTGGGTGGACTGGATCGGTCGATGGTTGTGGTTGGACTGGATCGGTCGATGGTTCTGGATGGACTGGATCGGTCGATGGTTGTGGTTGGACTGGATCGATCGATGCTTGTGGATGGACTGGATCGGTCGATGGTTATGTGTGGACTGGATCGATCGATGGTTGTGGATGGACTGGATCGGTCGATGGTTGTGGGTGGACTGGATCGGCTGATGGTTGTGGGTGGACTGGATCGGCTGATGGTTGTGGGGTGGACTGGATCGGCTGATGGTTGTGGGTGGAATGGATCGGTCGATGGTTGTGGGTGGACTGGATCGGTCGATGGTTGTGGGTGGACTGGATCGGTCGATGGTTGTGGGTGGACTGGATCGGTCGATGGTTGTGGGTGGACTGGATCGGTCGATGGTTGTGGGTGGACTGGATCGGTCGATGGTTGTGGTTGGACTGGATCGGTCAATGGTTGTGGATGGACTGGATCGGTCGATAGTTGTGGTTGGACTGGATCGGTCGATAGTTGTGGTTGGACTGGATCGGTCGATGACAGATTTATATACACTGACACATTGAAGTCGATCTCCAGCTCTGGAGAATTCCATTGAGTACAATGGCCGCCAGTTTTTGTTTTTCTACTTTTGGGATAAAGGTTTTTCCTAAATAAATGAAAGCTGATCATCAAGCGCCCCCCTGTCAGTGAAAAATGGTTTGTCCCAACCCTTAACTGATACATCTGCAGAAAAGATTTTTTTTTTGATGAAAAACAACAGACTTACTGGCTGGATCACCAGGTGAAAATAAAAAAAAGAAAAGCTAAAGAGAAAACTAATGCAGCTGCCACATCGAACAACTGGTAAGCTGCAATAGACAGTAAATGGTGTTATCAGCCCTTCTCTTCTCTCTGAACTACAGAGTACTTACCCCTTATGTTATGGAGATGGGGAGAGGGAGGTGTTTTTGTAGTCCTAACACACCTCCTGTCCCAGGGTGACAACGCTTCTCTGTAGATACAGTACATTGACAGAGCGTTGTCAACTTAGGACAGAAAGTGTTTTACTGGCAGGATCACCATGGAAAAAAAACAGAGAAAGATATAATTTTGGCCTAGGCCGGAAACCAGGAAGAAACTGAAGAAATGTACAGGGGAGGAGGGACTTTCTCAGCTTAGCACTCCCACCTGCATGCCTGAGCTAAGGACAGTTGGATTCTAGGAAGTAAATGCTACATGAATCATCTGCCCTTGCTCAACATGGCCACGGGGAGGAGAAGTCTCCTGGCATGTATTTGATCTCATTTTGGCTTAGGCCCAAAACCAGAAAGACACTAAAGAAACGTTCAGGGGAGGAGGGGCTTTCTCAGCTAAGCACTCCCAAGTGCCTTCCTACCTGAGCTAAGGGCAGTTGGATTCCAGGAAGTAAATGCTACATGAATCATCTGCCCTTACTCAATATGGCCACGGGGAGAAGTCTCCTGTGATGTATTGATATCATTTTGGCCTAGGCCAGAAACCAGGAAGAAACTGAAGAAAACAGAAAATTAAATGATTACATTTCAGCAGAAAATTCAATGATAGCATTTTGAAAAAAATAAAAAATCAAGAATATAATTTCAAAAGAACATTCAATGGTAACTTTTCAAAGGAAAATTCAATGATAACATTTTAGCAGAAAATTCAAAGATAGATTTTCAGCAAAAAATTCAAGGATAAAATTTCAAAACAAAATTCAATTATACTATTTCGAAAAAATAAAAAATCAAGAATAAAATTTTAAAAGAAAATTCAGTGATAAAATTTCAACAGAAAATTCAATGATTGCATTTCAGCAGAGAATTCAAGGATAAAATTTCAACAAAAATTTCAAGGGTGAAATTTCCACTGATTTTGGCTGCCCCAGTGGAGTAGTGCAGGGTAAAGACTGTCAATGAAGTGTTGTACAAGAAGGAGGGGTCACCATCGGTCTAAGCGCTGTCATACATCTGTGTGTCCCCACACTTCTAATTCTAGTCTCTTTCCCTATAGGGTGGTCACATACTGTCCTCTGACAGGCTCTCTCTGCCATCAATGCCAAGCCGTGCCTCCATGTCTGAGACCTCTGTGACTAACCTGCTGTAAGTTGGAGTTTTATTTATATATTTTATTATTTAATTTATTATTTTATTTTTTATTTTATTATTGTAGTATTATTATTATTTTATTATTTTATTTATTATTTTATTATTATTATTATTATTTTTTATTATTATTTTATTTATTTTATTATTTTTTTTTATTATTATTTTACTTATTATTTTATTTATTTTATTTATTTTTTTTATTATTGGTGGGGGGGATTTTATTTGTTTAAAGTATAACTAAAGTCAAAACCTTTATTTTTTAGTTCTAGATAGAGTTTCGAGGTTTAGAACCCCAAGTTTTATTGTCATCTCCTTGCTAGGGAGAGCCTCTCTCTCTCTTTTTGTCCCCCCTCCCTCACTATTTCTTGAGCATGTAGGGCAGTGTGGGGTAGTAGGTGGGTGACACTCCCAGTGTGGGGTAGTAGGTGGGTGACACTTCCTCCATCGGGAGTCCAAGGGACGGTGCTCGGAAGTGGGTAGGGGGTGGAACCAAGGGACGGTTCTCGGTGGTGGGTAGGGGGTGGAACCAAGGGATGGTTCTCGGAGGTGGGTAGGGGGAGGAACTGAGGGATGGTAGGGGAGGAACCGAGGGGGTACTCGGAGGTGGGTGGGGGGTGGCTCGAGACGGTGCTCGGAGGGGGTGAACTGAACCGAGGGGGGGTGGGAATGGTACTCGGAGGTGGGTGGGGGGTGGAACCGAGGGACGGTGCTCGGAGGTGGGTAGGCGGTGGAACTGAGGGACGGTGCTCGGAGGTGGGTAGGGGGTGGAACCAAGGGATGGTACTCGGAGGTGGGTGGGGTGTGGTGAAGGATGGTACTCGGAGGTGGGTGGGTGTGGAACTGAGGGACGGTGCTCGGAGGTGGGTAGGGGGTGGAACTGAAGGATGGTACTCGGAGGTGGGTGGGGGTGGAACCGAGGGACGGTGCTCAGAGGTGGGTAGGGGTGAAACTGAGTGATGGTGCTTGGAGGTGGGTAGTGGGTGGAACCAAGGGATGATACTCGGAGGTGGGTAGGGATGGTACTCGGAGGTGGGTAGGGAGTGGAACCAAGGGATGGTGCTCGGAGACGGGTAGGGGGCGGAGAGAAGGAGTGACTCAGAAGGGGGGGTTCCTGCACCTATTCTCTGAGAAAAAAAAGCCCCGCCCTCCATGTTTTCCCTCCTCTGAACAGAAACAGAGTTCAAAGTACAATACAGTTCTTTCCCTACCCCGGTCCCTGTCTCAGGCTTGTGTGCTGCCCCGGCATGCCTGCATAGGTAGAGTCTATGCATGGCACAGTCCATGGTTGACAAAATCCAGCAGCTGGTATTTTCAGGGCGTCCAGCAGTCCCCCTACATAGTGGAAGCTCTCAGATGGCAAGCAACCTGGGACTCCGACATTGGTGGGGACCTACAGCTCACAGCCAGGGACCCCAGTAACTCAGAAACTTTCACATCTCAGGAACCCCCACTGGCTTCTTCCCTCTTGCTCTGGACCACCGTCCCCGGGACCAGGGGGTTGGAGCCAAAGAAAAAACCCGGGAAATACCAATAACCCTAACCCTCCCGGTTGGGGGAGCACCTATCCCGGCTACCATAGGCAACCTGCGTTTCGTGCAGATTTCATGGTGACATCATCCCACCAATGGGGTCACAGGTGGGAAGTGAGGGAATTTCCCACCAATGGGGTCACAGGTGACAAGTGAGGGAATTTCCCACCAATGGGGTCACAGGTGGAAAGAAAATCCTGAAATTGAAATGTTAGTGGGGGAGGTTCGCAGTTCCGGATCCTCACCCTGGGCGCTGGATGGATCTGCTCCGGAACTGACCAATAAGGTGGTGAAGGGGGGTGTGGTCAAGCTTGGTGTTTTTATTCTGCCAATCGGTACTCTTCTTTTTGCTGACGTCTTCCTGCTTCTCCCTCCTTAGCAGAGAGAATGGGAGCAAGGCATGTCTGGACCTGCAGGCCATAGACACAGTGCGCAGTGGGCGGGACAGGGAGGACGCAGTCATGCACCATGTGCTGAAGGGGAGCCTGTACAAGCCACGGCGCATGGTAAGACCCCGCCCAATGGAAACTGCTGTCCCTTGAAAGAGGAACCGCCATGGTCATAGAACAATCCAAAGGACCTGCAATAGAAGTGTTAACCTGGCCATACCTTGGTGTCAGTGGAGGAATAGTGCCCCATCATTGGTGTCAGTGGGAGGAATAGTGCCCCATCATTGGTATCAGTGGGAGGAATAGTGCCCCATCATTGGTATCAGTGGGAGGAATAGTGCCCCATCATTGGTGTCATGGAGGAATAGTGTCCCCATCATTGGTGTCAGTGGGAGGAATAGTGCCCCATCATTGTGTCAGTGGGAGGAATAGTGCCCCATCATTGGTGTCAGTGGGAGGAATAGTGCCCCATCATTGGTATCAGTGGGAGGAATAGTACCCCATCATTGGTATCAGTGGGAGGAATAGTGCCCCATCATTGGTGTCAGTGGGGGGAATAGTGCCCCATCATTGGTGTCAGTGGGAAGTGGGAAGAATAGTGCCCCATCATTGGTGTCAGTGGGAGGAATAATGCCCCATCATTGGTATCAGTGGGAGGAATAGTGCCCCAATGTCAGTGGGAGGAATAATGCCCCATCATTGGTGTCAGTGGGAGGAATAGTGTCCCATCATTGGTGTCAGTGGGAGGAATAGTGCCCCATCATTGGTATCAGTGGGAGGAATAGTGCCCCATCATTGGTATCAGTGGGAGGAATAGTTCCCCATCATTGGTGTCAGTGGGAGGAATAGTGCCCCATCATTGGTGTCAGTGGGAGGAATAGTGTCCCATCATTGGTGTCAGTGGGAGGAATAGTGTTCCCATCATTGGTATCAGTGGGAGGAATAGTTCCCCATCATTGGTGTCAGTGGAAGGAATAGTGCCCCATCATTGTATCAGTGGGAGGAATAGTGCCCCATCATAGGTATCAGTGGGAGGGAAATAGTGCCCCATCATTGATGTCAGTGGGAGGAATAATGCCCCATCATTGGTGTCAGTGGGAGGAATAGTGTCCCATCATTGGTGTCAGTGGGAGGAATAGTGCCCCATCATTGGTATCAGTGGGAGGAATAGTGCCCCATCATTGGTATCAGTGGGAGGGTAGTCCCCATCATTGGTGTCAGTGGGAGGAATAGTGCCCCATCATTGGTGTCAGTGGGAGGAATAGTGTCCCATCATTGGTGTCAGAGGGAGGAATAGTGTCCCATCATTGGTATCAGTGGAGGAATAGTCCCCATCATTGGTGTCAGTGGAAGGAATAGTGCCCCATCATTGGTATCAGTGGGAGGAATAGTGCCCCATCATAGGTTCAGTGGGAGGAATAGTGCCCCCATCATTGGTGTCAGGAGGAGGAAATAGTGTCCCATCATTGGTATCAGGGAGGAAAGTGCCCCATCATTGGTGTCAGTGGTAGGAATAGTGCCCCATCATTGGTGTCAGTGGGAGGAATATAGTGTCCCCATCATTGGTATCAGTGGGAGGAATAGTGCCCCATCATTGGGTCAGTGGTAGGAATAGTGGCCCCATCATTGGTGTCAGTGGGAGGAATAGTGCCCCATCATTGGTATCAGTGGGAGGAATACTGCCCCATCAGTATCAGTGATGGAATAGTGCCCCATCATTGGTGTCAGTGGGGGAATAGTGTCCCATTGTATCAGTGGATGGAATAGTGCCCCATCATTTGTATCAGTGGGAGGAATAGTGTCCATCATTGTGTCAGTAGGAATAGTGTCCCATCATTGGATCAGTGGGAGGAATAGTGCCCCATCATTGGTGTCATGTGGGAGGAATAGTGCCCCATCAGTGTCAGTGGAAGGAATAGTGTCCCATCATTGGTATATCAGTGGGAGGAATAGTGCCCCATCATTGGTATCAGTGGGATGGAATAGTGCCCCATCATTGGTGTCAGTGGGAGGAATAGTGTCCCATCATTGGTATCAGTGGGAGGAATAGTGCCCATCATTGGTATCAGTGGGATGGAATAGTGCCCCATCATTGGTGTCAGTGGGAGGAATAGTGCCCCATCATTGGTGTCAGTGGGAGGAATAGTGCCCCATCATTGGTGTCAGTGGGAGGAATAGTGCCCCATCATTGGTGTCAGTGGGAGGAATAGTGCCCCATCATTGGTATCAGTGGGAGGAATAGTGCCCCATCATTGGTATCAGTGGGAGGAATAGTGCCCCATCATTGGTGTCAGTGGGAGGAATAGTGCCCCATCATTGGTGTCAGTGGGAGGAATAGTGTCCCATCATTGGTATCAGTGGGAGGAATAGTGCCCCATCATTGGTGTCAGTGGGAGGAATAGTGTCCCATCATTGGTATCAGTGGGAGGAATAGTGCCCCATCATTGGTGTCAGTAGGAGGAAATATGCCCCACTCTTGATATCCAGTGGTAAAAATAATGCACATTTCTACTCCTTATGAAATTCTAGCGTACTAAACTTCATCCATTTAGGGATTTTATCTATTTCGGTGTATATACACTATATTGCCAAAAGTATTGTCCCCGCCCTCCAATCATGTGATTCAGGTGTTCCAATCCCCTCCATGGACACAGGTGTATACAATCAAGCCCCTAGGCATGCAGACTGCTTCTACAAACATTGGTGAAAGAATGGGTCGCTCTCAGGAGCTCCTCAGTGACTCCAAGCGTGGTCCCGTGATAGGTGGTCACCTGGGCAATAAGTCCATCCGTGACACTTCCTGGCTACTAAATATTCCACGCTCAACTGTTAGTGGGATTATAACAAAGTGGAAGCAACTGGGAACAACAGCAACTCAGCCACCAAGTGGTAGGCCACGTCACATGACAGAGCGGGGTCAGCGCATGCTGAAGCGCACAGTGCGCAGAAGTCACCAACTGTCTGCAGAGTCAATAGCTAAAGACCTCCAAACTTGGGGTGGCCTTCAGATGAGCCCAACAACAGTGTGTAGAGAGCTTCATGGAATGGGTTTCCATGGCTGAGCAGCTGCACCCAAGCCTTCCATCACCAAGTGCAGCGCAAAGCGTCGGATGCCGTGGTGTAAAGCACGCCACCACTTGACTCTAGAGCGGGGGAGACGTGTTCTCTGGAGTGACCAATCACACTTCTCTGTCTGGCAATCCGATGGACATGTCTGGGTTTGGCGGTTGCCAGGAGAATGGTACTTGCCTGACTGCATTGTGCCAAGTGTAAAGTTTGGTGGAGGGGGGATTACAGTGTGGGGTTGGGCTTGGCCCCCTAGTTCCAGTGAAGGGAACTCTTAAGGTGACATTTTGGAAAACTTTGTGGGAAGAGTTTGGGGATGGCCCTTTCCTGTTCCAACATGACTGCACACCAGTGCACAAAGCAAGGTCCATAAAGACATGGAGGAGCGAGTTTGGGGTGGAGGAACTTGACTGGCCTGCACAGAATCCTGACCTCAACCCCATAGAACACCTTTGGGATGAATTAGAGTGGAGACTGCGAGCCAGGCCTCCTCCCCCGACATCAGTGCCTGACCTGACAAATGTGCTTCTGGAAGAATGGTCCAACCTTCCCATAGACACCCTCCTAAACCTTGTGGACGGCCTTCCCAGAAGAGTTGAAGCTGTTATAGCTGCAAAGGGCGGGGCCAACTCAATATTGAACCCTACGGACTAAGACTGGGAGGCCATTAAAGGTCATGTGTGTGGAAAGGCAGGCCGACCAATACTTTGGTCAATATAGTGTATGTGTCATTGGTCCCAACTCATAAATATGTAGTCCCAGCCATAGGCCCTCTGCTTTGACCCATGTGCCTGTAATCTTCAAATGTCATTGGACTTGTCTGGAGAGTCGGCCATGTTTCTGGAAGGACATGGAGTGTGAAGTTGGTGCGCTGAGCTCATTGTCTCTTTCTCTTGCAGTGCAAGTCCAGCTACAGCCGCCATTTTATGACGCAGGACGAGCAGGAGCGCCAGGAGAAGGAAGTCTTCCAGAAAAACATGAAGCGGAGGCTGGAATCGTTCAAATCCACCAAACACAACACTTGCGTGTCCAAATCCCGAGTCAAGAAAGACGGTCGCAAGAAGGTATGGATGAGTCTGACTCGTGAACGCCCCGTCCTTGCATTCTGTAAACATGCCTTAGAGAAGTGAAAGAGGACCTGTCAAGACATTGATGACCTCTCCTTCTGAAAATGCTGGATGCCCGGCTGTGAAGCCGATCTTCTGGCTGTGATACTTGCAGCGGACAGAAATGACTCGTACTGATAGCAGAGGGAGGAGGCAGCGGACAGAAATGACTCGTACTGATAGCGGAGGAGGAAGGAGGCAGCGGATAGAAATGACTTGTACTGATAGCAGAGGGAGGAGGCAGCGGACAGAAATGACTCGTACTGATAGCGGAGGAAGGAGGCAGCGGACAGAAATGACTCGTACTAATAGCGGGGAGGAGGCAGTGGACAGAAATGACTCGTACTGATAGCAGAGGGAGGAGGCAGCGGACAGAAATGACTCATACTAATAGCGGAGGGAGGAGGCAGTGGACAGAAATGACTTGCTGATAGCGGAGGAAGGAGGCAGCGGACAGAAATGACTCGTACTAATAGCGGAGGGAGGAGACAGTGGACAGAAATGATACTGATAGCAGAGGGAGAAGGCAGCGGACAGAAATGACTCATACTAATAGCGGAGGGAGGAGGCAGTGGACAGAAATGACTTGTACTGATAGCGGAGGGGAGGAGGCAGCGGACAGAAATGATTCGTACTGATAGCAGAGGGAGGAGGCAGCGGACAGAAATGACTCGTACTGATAGCAGAGGGAGGCAACATCACTTCCGGGTCACAACTGTCACTTTCCCCGGCTAGAATATACATGTATGGCAATGCAATCTAATGGAGCCCAGAGGTGACATTGGGGGTCTTTTAGATCCTGGAGGTCTCAACAAAGAGAACCTGTTACTTAAAAATCATCATATTGTCAAAAAATAAAGTTACACCCAAGCACATAACATTCCACCCCCCCCACCCACCCCCCCCCCCCCCCCACCCCTCAAAAAAAGAAAAATTTCTGAGGCCCATACGAATGTAAATGCACGCCAGGGCACCTACGCGTGAAAACGTTGATTGTGATACACATGTTCCATATCATGCGTCTGCTCTCCTCCCCTTCTTGCAGTGACCCAGAAGGCAACATGCATGACGTCACTTCCGGGTCACAACTGTCACTTTCCCCGGCTAGAATATACATGCAATGCAATCTAATGGAGCCAAGAGGTGACATTGGGGGTCTTCTAGATCCTGGATGTCTCAACAAAGAGAACCTGTCACCTAAAAATCATCACATGGGGGACTTTGTGTCTATGTGATGGAAAAAAAGTTAAGTAAAAAAAAATGTTTTTTATTGCAAAAAAAAAAATAAAGTTACACCCAAGCACATAACATTCCACCCCCCACCCCCCCAAAAAGAGAAAAATTGCTGAGACCCCACTACAAATACGCACATATGAATGTAAATGCACGTCATGGATGTGATGGAAAAAAGTTAAGTAACAAAAAATGTTTTTTATTGCAAAAAAAAAAATTAAGTTACACCCAAGCACATAACATCCCCCCCCCCCAAAAAAAAAAAATTTCGAGGCCCCCCTACATATATACGCACATACAAATGTAAATGCACATGTCAAGGCACCTACGTGTGAAAACGTTGATTGCGATACACGTTGCATATCATGCGTCCGATCTCCTCCCCTTCTTGCGGTGACCCAGAAGGCGACGTGTATGACATCACTTCTGGGTCACAACTGTCACTTTCCCCGGCTAGAATATACATGTATGGCAACGCAATCTAATTATTATTATTATACAGGATTTATATAGCGCCAACGGTTTGCTCAGCGCTTTACATATACATCTAATGGAGCCCAGAGGTGACATTGGGGGTCTTCTAGATCCTGGCAAAATTAGCAAGCATTTTGGATTAAAGGTACAAGGCTAAGAAAATACCAATGAAAAACAATAAGGAGAGAATTAACAATGAATAAAAAAAAAAACAAAAAAAAACAAGAAAAAAAATATAAGAAAAAAAAAAAAAATAAATAAATAAGAAAAAAAATATAAAAGTAAAAAAAATAAGAAAAAATTTAGAAAATAATAAGGAAAAATAATAATAAAGGGAAATAAAAGAGAAAAAAAATAAAATAAAAGGAAAAAAATAATATCATCATCGAGGACGCTGCCATGTCCTTCGCTTCCACTACACATGCCTAAGCCTTTAGTTTTCTTTCATCATGTGAGTGTTTCTCATTATGTTCCTCAATAATTGTACAACATATTGCAGTTACAGGCGCTCTTTTTGAAAATGATCGTCTTGTTGGCACGGCGGGAATGCGTCTCTGAACTGATAGAACGTATTTTCTTGGTCCGTTGTGTGAATGGTATAATGGGACGCCGGGTGTCGCTAAATTTCGTCCTATAAAAGGCGTTCGTGTATTTTGGCAGCAGGACGCATAATGCCGCGCGAAGGCCGTTTCTCAGGCGACTTTCTGGAGAGCGGAGACGTCTGCGATGTATTTATTGACAAGCTTGCCCTATTTACGTAATTGTTCCACGCTGAGCCCCCGCCGCTCGGCTTGTCAGCAAACGGTAATTCGATCCGCAGATGGTTATCGGCTCGGATTCATGTCCTCGTCTTTCCCACTTCTCAGGGAGTAACTGAAAGGAAAACCTCAGGGTTACCAGAGAAATGGAATCTACGAGACAAGCCAAGAGCTACATATAACTGGAGAGGATTTCATGTGCCTTCATTGCAGATCATTTCCATCATTGACATCCTCCAATGTTTAACCGTCTGCTGGCTGCGATCGTCCACTAAAATAAAATGTGCCGAAGACAAAAGACAAAAAAAGAAAAAAAAAAAGCAATTATAGGTTACAATTAGTGAAACCCTTTAAGTGGAGCTCCACCCAAAAGGGGAAGTTCCGATTTAAGGACTGCTCCCCTGCTCCCCATTAAGGATTGGCACCTTTGGTGGGGGGGGAGCGGGTACCCGAATTTTACAGGTACCCGCTCCCACTTCCGGTCCAATCACCCTAGATGATTAGAAGCGGAAGGTGTCCTCCCCTCCCTGTAGTCTTTTGGGACACGTGGCAGGTCCCAGAAGGCTACAGGACCATTCATGAAGCGCAGCGCTACTCGCGCATGCGCAGTGGGCACCACAGTATATATATACAGTATATACAGTGGGGATCGAAAGTTTGGGCACCCCAGCTAAAAATTTGTATTAATGTGCATAAAGAAGCCAAGGAAAGATGGAAAAATCTCCAAAAGGCATCAAATTACAGATTAGACATTCTTATAATATGTCAACAAAAGTTAGATTTTATTTCCATCATTTACACTTTCAAAATAACAGAAAACAAAAAAATGGCGTCTGCAAAAGTTTGGGCACCCTGCAGAGTTAATATCTTGTACTGCCCCCTTTGGCAAGTATCACAGCTTGTAAACGCTTTTTGTAGCCAGCCAAGAGTCTTTCAGTTCTTGTTTGAGGTATCTTTGCCCATTCTTCCTTACAGAAGTCTTCCAGTTCTTTGAGATTTCTGGGCTGTCTGTCACGCACGGCTCTTTTAAGGTCTATCCATAGATTTTCAATGATGTTGAGGTCAGGAGATTGTGAAGGTCATGGCAAAACCTTCAGTTTACGCCTCTTGATGTAATCCCCCGTGGATTTCGAGGTGTGTTTAGGATCATTATCCATTTGTAGAAGCCATCCTCTCTTTAACTTCAGCTTTTTCACAGATGGCATCAAGTTACCATCCAACATTTGCTGAAATTCTATTGAATCCATTTTTCCTTCTACTCGTGAGATGTTCCCTGTGCCACTGGCTGCAACACAACCCCAAAGCATGATTGATCCAACCCCATGCTTAACAGTTGGACAGAGGTTCTTTTCATTAAATTCTGTGCCCCTTCTTCTCCAAACGTACCTTTGCACATTCCGGCCAAAAAGTTCAATTTTAACCTCATCGGTCCACAGAACTTGTTTCCAAAATGCATCAGGCTTGTCTATATGTTCATTTGCAAAGTTCAAACGATGATTTTTGTGGTGAGGACGTAGAAGAGGTTTTCTTCTGATGACTCTTCCATGAAGACCATATTTGTACAAGTATCTCTTTATAGTGGAATAGTGTACCACAACTCCAGTGTCTGCCAGATCTTTCTGGAGGGATCCTGCAGTCAAACGTGGGTTTTGAATTGTTTTTCTCACAATCCTGCGAGCTGTTCTGTCTGATATTTTTCTTGCTCTTCCAGATCTTGCTTTAACTTCCACTGTTCCTGATGACTGCCATTTCTTAATTACATTCCGAACAGAGGATATTGACATCTGAAAACGCTTTGCTATCTTCTTATAGCCTTCTCCAGCTTTGTGAGCGTCAATTATTTTCAGTTTCAGTTTTCTAGACAACTGCTTAGAAGAACCCATGGTGCTGATTGTTGGGGCAAGGTCAGATGAGTCTGGGCATTTAAAACCTTTGAGATTGACATCACCTGGTCTTCCCAGATGATGATTGAGAACAATCCATGACACTGGCAGGTCTCAGCTTTGCAAAGGGGGCAGTGCATGCTATAAATTCTGCAGGGTGCCCAAACTTTTGCAGGCGCCATTTTTTTTTGTTTTCTGTTATTTTGAAAGTGTAAATGATGGAAATAAAATCTAACTTTTGTTGACATATTATAAGAATGTCTAATCTGTAATTTGATGCCTTTTGGAGATTTTTCCATCTTTCCTTGGCTTCTTTATGCACATTAATACAAATTTTTAGCTGGGGTGCCCAAACTTTCGATCCCCACTGTATATACTGTATGTTGAAATGCGTTTATTATATGTTACAAAATATATGAAAATATATATATGTATATATATATATATATTGACATATATTTTTAAATATAGTGTATACGGCCAAAATTGTAGAACAGTATTTCAAATATATATATATATATATATATATATATATATATATATATATATATATATATAGACTGTATGTTGAAATGCGTTTTTTATTTGTTACAAAATATATATATACATA